ACTCTGCTCCAAGCAGCATGTGCCAAGTTAGAAAGATTTTATTTCTCTTCAAGGATCTCTGCTTGCACAATGGAAAGCAAATAGATACTCTCATCTTTGGAAGATTTAGCAGGAAAGGGGAAAGGATCAATACCAGCTCAATCTGCAAGACATTAGTGTATTCAGAGTGCCTGCAATAAATTTTTAACCTTTTCCAGCTTCCTTGGGGACTGGCAGGTATTCAAAAATATCAACACCCTCATCCCAAAGCTTCACTGTGCAAACCAAAACAAATGAGATATTTAGAAAACCACTGATAGATAAATCATAACATTCCCTTTTATTAGACAAATAATATACTTTATTAGAAAAATAATAGACTACCTTTCTTTTTGTGAGGCAGAGCTTAATGCAAAGGAATACCTGGTTTTATCAAGAGCCAAAATTTTCCATTAATTTTATTTTATTTAATATTAATACCAGTGGAAGGGTGTGATGACTGAGGCAGGTTTTCTTCTGGTGTATATTGAACATCAAGTAGCTTGTGAGCGCAGCACCAATAGTGCCGAAGTTGCGTGTCTGTATTCTTCTCATTTCTTGAAGAGGGTTGTGATTTCTATGTGGTGCTTCTGGGTGCTCAGATCAGTTCTGAAATGAATTAGCTCAAGTCTTTATATGGTGTCATACTGCCAGGTATTGCAAGCAGTCTTGCTCACAGACAGACCCTGACACAAAGTAAGTGGGTGCAAACAGGTCATGTTGTATAACAGCCAACAAGATGTTGTGAAGGTTTAAACATCCTACAATGAACTTTCAAGTGCAAAGATTCTGTTTTGTTTGACCCCTGTAGACAGAGACGATATAAGAGGGACTACCTTGACAATATGAGAACCTGCAATGCTCCATGGGTCACTGAAAGGGTAAGGCAGAAGTCCTCCTCACATTGCATTTTGTCAGCACGTTTCAGCCACCTCCAAAAAGGACAGGAGAGGCTTACAAAGAACTGGGCATGAATCACCAGCTTGGTAATTGTGTGATGTAAGACCTAAAGGGGCAAGAAGAGATTTTGATAACTGAAAAAGTTTATAGTGAAACGCAGAAAATGCTGTATGAGAGAGGTCACTGCTGGAGATTGTCAGCAGTGCAAGAAGAAACATTAGAAATGTCGATCAGCTCAAACTAAGGCATAGGCCAGAGGAAGGAAGGACAGAGAGGGTTAGAAGTCTCTGTAATTATAACATAGGGATCACACAGTATCAGTCTCTGAGCAGGATCTGAGCTCTGAAAATGGCCACATAAAACCTAATGTGGCCATCTCTAAGTAAGTGGAAGAGAGAAAAACAGTCTTTCAGTTCCCTAAACTCTAATCCTACATCTCTGCATAGCAGTGTTTGTAACTCAGGAGTAAACAGGGAGGGATCAGCTCTTTTAATCTTAATCAAATAGTAATGCAAAATACCTGGCTCAAACCAATCTGCAAAGGTCGGGGTCATAGGAAGTCAGAAGTAGGGAACTGTGGTTTTCACAGATGGAAAATTTGCACCGATATCACAGGGGTATATGTATAATAAATTATTCTGAAACATATGTACTCTAAAATTAAGTATACATGTAACTCCACCCTTAATTTATCTCTCAACAATGTTTTGTGCTTTGTCTCACTGTCAAGGGAGCCCAGCTGCACTTGCAAATTAGTGTTAATTTTGCAATGCAGCTGTCATATGCAATGGGTCAGAGCAATGAAAGGCTTTTTAATAGAAATTGAAATTAATGTAATCATAGTCTCACAAGTAATTTTTCTACAAGAGGAACAAAATACTGATACCTTCTTTGTATTCCTCCAGGAATTCAGCATTCCGATATCATGTCAGTCACCCTATTTGCATTTTGTCTAATTTTGTGAATTATTCAGCATTCAGTTTTGGCTCCTTCAGAGTCAGTACAGTGTGTACTCTGAATACATATTACTAATAGCTCCACAATCAGTATTCTGCATTCATAACATGGAAGGAATTAACTGATTTTATGTGCTTATGACATTCAAAGTAAAATATCTGAAAGATATTAGTGTAGATAACATCACTGTATGCATGCATAATAGCACATATGTGGAAAATACACACTGCTAGAATCAGTGTACTTCTTGATCAGTAAAAAACTAACCAAAGTTTAATAACATCTGTGGGGGTTTTAAGAGTCTCATTAAGGAATAATTTTTTCTACAGGTTTTTTTGTCTCATTCCCTTGGCACCAATCCTAGAGACACTTTGATACATGCTTGACTTTCAGTATCCAAGTAATCCCAAAGGAGTCAATGTGACTATTCATAGCTTTAACCAAAAAGACATGCTTAAGTGTCTGCAGGATAGAGGACTTAGACTGTACTCCTGCAAAGAGCTCATAATGAAATGGCCAAAACCCATGGAGTATAACAGAAATGTGCCCTTGAGAATGGAAAAGCTATAAAGCCAAATTTAGTCTTGGAATATGTAAGCCCTTTGGAAATGAATGGCAACATTGATGTTCACCAAGAAAGAGAGGGCTTCTGTCCCCAATTCCTGTGGTAGCCCTTGGGGTGACATATGTATTTGCAGTCGTCCTTGTGCATGCAAGTCCAGAATACAAAAGCGATTATCTAGTTAAGATTAATTTCAGATCTAATCTGCTAGTTTTCCACATTGTAGAATTCCCTGGATGCTGCTTGGTTTTGTCCCTCTGTAATCAGATTATTCGAAGTTCCATCCATCACAATTGATTTGCTCTGTAATGCATTAAATTGGTGTGATGTGTAATCGTCTAATGTCTTCTGATGCTTCTTTCCCCAGTGCTGCTTCAATCATTGAACAGTGTCTTGATGTGAAGATGTTAGACAAAGTAACACATAGTGTAGCTGCCAATTGTAGACAAGTAAGTAGAAAATCCTAAAATAGGATGTGACAAATGTAATGTAGGCTTACCCAGTGCCAGAAGCATTGCTGCAGTCTGCCAAACTTCTCAGGTTTTTGCACCTTTGAATCTCTTTTCCCACCACCTTCAGAAACCTGCTCAAAAGCTACTATCTATTTAACGTTATGGGGGGGGGTCTTAGCATTCACCATCAGCCACTGACTGATTTTCGTTATTGATGTTCTACTGGAAAACATGCAAAGTAATTAAAAAAAAACCAAACCCACCCCCCAAAGAACCCCCAAAACAAAACAAACAACAACCAAAACCCCACTGCATCATATGAACCATTTCAATAGTAAACCAAGTGCTGGGCCTGAAATTTCCTGTTTGAATAAGAATTCTGTGTCATGCCTTGATGGTCGTCAAATAGGCTGAAATAGCAGCATAATGATTCATGAAACAACATCAAGCAAGGAAGGTGTGAAAGCCTTCCCTCAACTACGTTTTATGAGTTTCATTCCTGAAGTGGAACAGAGTAGTGAACTCAAGCAGAAGTATCTATTAATTTTTACAGCTGGCTATTGCACCATAAACCATATTTGCTCGTGCCTAATATTGGTAAAATAAGAAGTAGCACCTTTCATACTCGTTGAGTCAGAATAACAGCACAAGTGAACTACATTACTAAGGTAACTAAGGGCCTGGGTTGCCTTTTAATGAGACTCATATTATTGATCTGCAAAAGCAGAGCTGTGTTCAAGTCCTGTAGGATTGAGTGTCATTTTCATGTTAAGGCCTGTATTAAATGAAGTAGAAGGGTCAATGGAACACCCAGATACTGTATTTCCAGTAGCAAAGAGATCCTTGCATGACAACAGGTATAAGAAAAATGGAAATGTCCTAGGAAATGTCATTTTTTTTTGTAGAAACAGACTAATGTATTTGTTGCCATAACACAGAGATCAGAGCAGCTTATACAGAAGAGTATGAAGAAGAGGGTCTGAGGTGAATCTGTTCTGCTGTAACAGTCTCAGACATGGTGGTAACACACCCAGAGTAATTTTCCTGGCAACTGTCTATGCCAAGGTAGAGACTTTAACACAGAGTAAGTATCAGATGGTGGATGAAGCCCTGCAAGTGTCCTGGCCTGAAGGGAATGTCTGGGGCTAGGAGATACAGCCTTCTGTCTTGTGGAAGCTGTGCTGCCAAATGGAGGAGTTACAGGAGGACAGCACTAGAGAAGAATAAAGGTGATAGTCAGGATCTTCTCTGAAATATAGCAAATTTGAGAGCCCCAAAGCTCATCTGTAATAGAGAGGCAGTTTGCTCCCTCAATATTAAGGTAAGTGCAACCTCTGGAGAAGGTGAAGGGTGGAAGCTGGTGACTTCTGGCACTAAAAGGAAGGCTCCTGCCCTACCTAAGGGTTTGCAAACACAAAATAAGTTTACTGCCCTCGAATCTGACGAGGTGTATGGGTGTTGTGTATGTGTCGTATATGTTAACAGCATGCAGAAGTACTAACATTTCAGAAGAGTCAAGTGGCTCTCTTATCAGAGCCTAGAAGCTGTATGCTAGAGCATGAGGACGGCACAGACAGCTGAGCCTCTCGCTTTTCTCTTGTTCTCTGTTGTCATGGGCTAGAATGGAACAAAACTGTGAATCACTGAAACCTTGCTGTGGATGGACTTTTTCTGAACTCTGCTGCCAATTGTCATTGGAGTAACTTATTACATCCTTCAAAATCAGCATTGCAAAAAAGTCTTCCTGGAACTACAAAGCATCTTCACTTCAAATGAGAAATATTTGGGCAGTGTAATAATGGTATTTTTCACTCTGTATATATGTATTCTTCAGGGCAAACGTGTTGGGTACCTGCTTTTTACCCCTGAGCTGAAGTATCTCCTGTCTGTTTGCTTTAGAGCCAACAAGCATGCAAGCAGTGAATTGGCAAGATCTTGCAAATGCTGGATGTGAATTTATTCTTGTTTTCAATGCCTCCAGTTTTCTTTTCATGTTCAAAGCAGTAGACAGTTCAAATGACTGCATTCCTGTTGAAAAGGGCTCAAGTCCACTGGTTACAAGAAACACATACTTAGATGAGTAGCTTCAAGTTTTTATTGGTTATCAAGAGTTTAATAGATAAATCTTATTTTCCCCCATAAATATTTGGATATGTCATAAATATATGCAGTATATTCTTTAATGCTCTGTGTCAGTCATGAATGTGAAAAAGGCCATGGGTCGGTTGTCTTCCTTTATATACCCCTGTATTTCCTTAGAAAGCATTGACATAAGAACATGTCCTGTCACCAGAATTGGTGTCAACCAGCAGAACTAACCAATGTGCTTACATTGCCTCTTTCAATCTCTGAGACATATTGAAATATAACTTAGAATCTAATGACTTAACCATGCCCAGAAAACATGGTGCAAGCAGATTCTGCTAAGAGTACAATACATCAAAGGAGTTTCACTAGTGTGTCCTTTAGATAGGATATAGATGACTGTTTCTTTAATTGAAGCAAGTTTTGCAGACAAAGACAAAAATTATGGAATGCTAAAGGAAAATCAAAACATATAGGAGGCGATACATATCAGACAGTTGGGTTTGGCTTGCTTACTGCAGGCAGTTTTCCTTTTGTATCTCCATATTGCTGGGAAATGATGTGTTTCTGTTCTTGTGGTTCCGTGCTAATAATTTCTGTCATTTCCACTGCTGGCTTTCAGTTTCAAGATTACAGATATGTACACTGGGCTGTAGCTAATAAAACACTTCCTTACCTGCCACACAATTTCAAGGCCTTGTAGAGGTCACATTTAAACACTTGTTTGGGATCTCAAGTGTGCAATGGGATCGGCAGGACTGAGCTTCTTGCTTATCCATCTTCAGAACACTTTCAATAGTGCTATAAAACTTCTATTCAATGACATTTGATTACACTACTTGTAAGGATATTCACCAGAGCAATCCTACTGCCTTGTTCAAGGGTACTGTCTGCTTCAGGTAAGAAAATGCAGTGCCATAACCATGAAAGAAATCCCATCAAAGCAGTGTATTCTGAGCCTTGTATGCTCAGACTGGGCACTGTTTGTGGTTTTCCCAGTTGATTTTTCAGCAGAAATCCTCTGCTATTATAACTCAGCTAGAGACTTCCCTTTCTGTTCTGCCACTGTAATACATTGCTAACACATGCTGATCTGGCAAATCAGGTGGGTCATGCAGAAACCTCCATCCACCTATGGTTTTTCCAGTATACTGAATCTTCCCATTACAGAAGCAAATGCTTTTAAAAGCCCATCTTCTCTCCAGCATAGATACTCCTAAGTGCCACCTGAATAAGTGGGTTTCCTTACAATGACAACAGTTTTCTCTTATTTCTGATCAACTTGCTTATTCCCACCATAATTGTCAAAAAACTACAGTGCTTTCAAAAAATGAGGGAGAGCAAGCATTTTCATGTTTTTTAACTGTTTTTATACAGTTGTAAATTTTAAGTGACATAGGTATGACAAATGCCTGGTTTTCATATATCAGTCATGTAAGACACCACTGAATCAGGTCTGTTTAACTAAAGAATAAATGAAAGGGTCTGATTCTCCATCTGTTGAAGTCCCATGGGTGTAAGTTCAATAAGAGCAGTACCTCCTCTTTGATGGTTTCTTAGATATTGCTAATCTATATTTAAAACGTGTTTTAATTAAACTTGAAAATTAATTTCCTTTAACATCTGTTTAAAATAGATTAGAATTAATGAAGTCTGACCCCCTTATGGGTTAGCACAAGTGAAATAATTACTCTTCAGCAGCACAGGACACATTGTACTGGACTTTCTGGCTCAAGTTAGTGGTAGGAAGTCAAAGGAAGTTCAGGAAATACCAGAAGCTTTGAACTGCACTAGAAAATTTAGTTTCTCTTTATGAAAATTGAAAATGCATATGCTAAACTTGCATTGTGTCACTGCTACTAGTATTATGGAAAATTACCTGCATAAATTGAATATAGGAATATTCTAATTTGGAACTTGAAAGTGATTACAGAAAAATTAGTTCCTAAGGATGTGATAAGGATGGTACTCTTTAAAATAATGCTAATTCAGGTATCATCAACTCGTCTGAATTCAAAGTGAAGGAATTTCTTCACAAATCCTTTCAGTACCTCTGGGAAGCTACTGCTGCTGCCTACCACTGTTTCTTACCATTCCAGGTGCATTCAAAGGCTGAAGTCTCATTTGGCCTTAGATGGAAAAGGATCCAACTACAGAGAGACACAGGGTATTATTCTGACTGTGGATACTGGCAGTGTAACTAAGTGAAAGCATCTAAAAGGAAAATGCAGTAGTAAAATATTTTTTCATCAGGTGAAATAATTTTCACTAAATCTTACATGAACCTCCAGTTCTTCAAAGAGTAACACTCTCATTGATCTTCATTGCTAATGAATTTTCCTGTACAGATACCTTCCAGAGTGTGAGCTTCTACTGACCCCCACTGAACCTGCTGCCCAACATTGGAAGGTCTGTCTTGACATCTGACAGCCTCCTCATACCTTGGTGACAGCTCTTCCTGCTTAATCCCTCAGGCAATCTGGGAGACCTTAATTAGAGAGGTTCCCTACTGTTATATTGCTTTGCTTTTTCATTATTGGAAAGATTGCTAGCAGGAAAAATGAAATGTATTTGCCCTATTTGATACATATGATAGCCTGATCCATGCTCATCTGAACGCCTGTTTCCAGCATGACACTTGCTTGAGAGCAGCTTGCAAATTCAGAATGGGGTCTGAGGAAAAGCTGGCTCTCTCCTGGGTCATAACCTGTTGTGAAGGAGGGTTTTTTAAAGCCTCTTCTTCACCCCACACCTACAGCCTCTTTGCAGTGCCTGTGGGACAGGTAGTGGGATTGCAGGCAGGCTGGTTCCTGCTACAGTAGTTTTGTTTGGATGGGCTCAGATTTATCTTTATCCTTGGTTGGCACAGTGGTAACTGGCAAAGCACATAGTCATTTGCTAAAAGGAGGGGTGAAGTGAGGTGCTTATGGTTTCTTATGACCCTCGTTTCTCCTAACATGCTGGTTCTTTATGCTCAACCTCTGCAAATAGTCTTGTCTTGACACCTTTTGTGCTCTGGAGAGGGGAGCAGAGCAGTGAAAGATTTAATGCCTTCAGTTCTAGAAACTGCTGAATGGGTTTACCTGGAAAATAGGGTTTATTTATGTTTAGTCTATGGAACAGAAAGCAATGGGGAGATCTTGCTCATGCCTAACGTAAGGACATAGAGAAGACAATGTCAGATATCTCTCAAAGGTGCACAGTTATAGGAGAGGCAGCAGGCAAGTTACAACAAGGGAAATTGCAATCAGATACAAAGAAGAATTCTACCCTGAGGGTAATCCCACACTGGTGTGGATGCCCGGAGGGGCATGCACCTCCATAGGATGCATTAGAGCACCTGGCCTTGTGCAGCCTGACTTCAGCTGGTCATTCCCAGCCCAAATTACTCTGTGGAGTCTATGGTTTGATACCACTAAATGGATACCTGAGTGTTTCTTGTGTTCAGTAACACACCTCTTTTGTTGCTGAACTTGGTATAACTCTATCTACCCCAATCCGCGTTTTCACTTAAGAGCAATGGAGGAATGAAGTACTATGAAGACTCCTTTGAAGCTTCTGGTAATCAGAATGTCAAGCTATTTATAGCAACATCTATAGCTTTGGAGACCTTTGATAATTTCATAGCAGAATACATATATCTTCATCCTGATCTGTTTCCTATACTCAGTGTGGCATTTTCTGTTGCACTGCATTTATGCAGCATCCAAGGGCTATTTTCCACATGTGGAAGCAAACAATGGTGTAAGTTTCTTTATCACAACTGGTGTAACTAAGAAAAAAAAAATCAAGAAAGCAGATGGTGGAAGTTAGTCTGTTACATCCCTCATGCTGGAAGTCAATTGATCATCAAAATGCTGCTGAAAAACATGTTTTAAAACACATCCTTAATGCATGAAAAGATATTTTGCCATTCTGATAAGCTGAGCATGTTGGGGTATGATTGAAGGAGGGAGGAAAGCAAGCGCAACTGCTGAGTCTGGCCCCAACATGTTAGACCGTGTTAATAAGCCTGGCCTGGCAGGATGTGTTTCTCCAGCCGAAGCTGAGGGGTCATGTGCAGAGCTGGGAGCAGAGGAGGCTTGCTGGCTCAGCTGGTATGTAATATGCACAGCATCCTTAGCGCTGGTCTTGATGTGACAGTGGATTCTGATGCCTTACACTGAAACTTCTCTTATTTGTATTTTCATCAATCCTAAATCTATTCAAAACTTTTTTCTGCCAAAACAGATATGCCTTATACATGAAACACAGCAAAAAAACATTTTCTTTTTAATTTTCAGGAAGTCTGTTATTGCCAAAACATAAACTGCTTAAGGAGGAGGAGGAAAACTGGAGTAAGTGATATTTGGCAAGATCCACATGTTCCATTTGTTTGTGCAACAATCACTGCTGCTGACTTACAGCTTCAGAGGCAGCTGCATAAATACAGGGCTGTGATGACTGAGGAAGCCAAGAGACGAGCTGTAGAAAAATAACAGATAAAACCAGACATGTTCTGGATGCCACAGGGTAAGGCAGAGCTGAGCTATGCTGCAGAAGTCTTGCTGTGCTGTTACATACCTTCAGCATCCTTTTTTGGAGTATCTTTCATGTTGTTGGGAGGCTTTGTTTGGTTTTCTTATAAGGGTTTGCCATTAAAGTTTCATAACGAAAGAGACTCAAGCCATTCCTGAAAATATTAAGGAGACTTTCTGATGCAAGCCGTCAAAGCCTGCTTTTCTGGGCCCTGTGCTCCTGAGCAAAGGGTCCAGGAAGCCCTGAATATATCAGCTTCTGGTGTTTGCTAGCTGCTTATATGTGGGGTTTACTCCTTTGTTTTGTGGAGAAGTCCTAGGAACTACAAACTAATGCATTTAGTAAGTGCTGGAGCTGCTGCCACCCAGTCCCTGTGAGAGCTGACCTCCCCCAGATAAGGCCAGCACAAGCTTTTTCATACAAGGCTAATGCCTGCAGCCTTACAAGGGTTCTGCTGTGCAAGTTAAGCTTTGTCAGGCACTGTAATTTCTTTCTGCTTCTGATAAAACAGTAAAGAAATCATGGCATCAAAGAAATAGGCTGGAATAGAAAAAGTTATCTATTGGGTTTTTTTAATTGCAAATATTCACCTATAAAGCTTATTAATTGCTGCATGTTTACCAGAATTGAGCAATATTACGAAGCAATGGTATTAAGTAAAGTTGTGACACAGCTCACAGGCAAATGATGCATCTGAGCAAGAGCATCTGAATCTCAGTTTCCAAAACACTGGTTTTATTTTTTAATTTTTTTTTTTTTTTTTTTACCTAGTGTGTTAGCTTTGTATTTCTTAAAGGCATACCTCATGAATTCCCTGTGCATGTATTGGTTTTAGCTTACAACTGGATACGTTGCTTCCCTTGCTGATCAGGTCAGGTAATGTGTCTGCCAATTACACTTTAAAATTATCCTATAAGAATTCCTACACTATCACTACATACTAGGATTCTCTTATTTCTGGTGTACCTGCTACACTTCATCAGAAAATCCTCCTACATGCTTCCTCTCCTTAAATAACTGGTCAAATAGCCATGCTGAGTGTTATTTAACACGGTGCTATAATCTAAAAGCTCAGCAGGCATGTCTTAAGTAGGCTGCAAACTAAGGAAATATTTGGTTTCTCTACTGATGCTTGCAATTTTCACCCCTTATCTTTGCTTTTGAAATGAAACTAAGTGATACATATGCAGAAATCACCGATTTGACTGGTTTCATCTCACTCAGGGCAGACGGACAAAGTTTTACTTATAAGAAGTAAAGGCAATTCTCAATACTTTGTACTGTTTGTAAGGAAACTCTTGAGAATAAAAGGTGTTTGGGTGAAATGTTTAGGTTTATGTGTGAAGGGGCACTTGTTTGTTCATCTGCTTTTGCAAGGTGATAGTCTTCTTTTAGCAGTAGTGCTGTCATTCCTGCATTCCCCGGTTCTATAAAAATGATGATTAATTTTCTCCATGCTTGGTGCAATTTTATTTTTTATTCAAATCAACCATCATAAATAATAAAATACCATGAGAAAAATTAATATGTTAACCAGCTGATGGAGTTAAGCAGATATAGAGGTATCTTCTGATTTTATTCCTCCAGGTCAGGGTTGTATTTGGATTATAAGGACAGTTCTTTCAGGTTCTGTCAAGGTCCTTATTTTCTTTCCAGGGATACTTGTAATCCACAGGCTGAGGTGAGCCTGTGCTCCAATTGCTTCTCTCTGTAGAGCTGAGGGGAAATCTGAGTCAGAGACAGAAGCTGGTCTTGAACTAGAAGCAATAAAGTAAATTATCTTTTCTATTTTTCTTCCAAGGATGGAAGATGGGAGGTTTCATGACATCCCTCTGGAGCTGTGTGAATTGAGATGGCACAGGACTTTTCTTTATATTAAATTAAGTAACAGTTTGGCTGAACAAATCAATCTAAAAAGTGCCTCTAAAGCTGTTTACTACGGCTTGCTCCTATAGTGTTGATTGATTTTAGTGAAAGATGTGAACCTGAAGGGCATGCTTCTATGTGGAGTTTTTTTTTTTTTTTTGGGGGGGGGAAGTATTGTTGAGTAACTCCATGTGTGGGTGTGCAGGATAAGAGTGCTTTTTGATGGTTTAGTTGGATCCAGGAAGCTGAATATAATTGCTGATACCAGATTTCCTGGTGGACACAAGAAAAACTATTTACCTAGTCACAACAAAGTCCTGCCATGTATTTGAAGAGACTACAGATCCACTTACAAGATAGTGGCACCTTGTAGGTAGAAATAGTTTGCCTTTCCACAGAGTCATTGATAAGAAAACATCCCAGCATTTTAAACATGTTCTGCCCTAGTATTTTAAAGTGGTTTTCACCCCCGTTTTATAGATGAGGGAACTGAGGCACAATGAAGTTTAGCAACTACCTGATGCTGGAAACCTGGAAAAGGTCATATGCAACAATAATAGCTGGTTCTGGATAGCAGTAACCTAATCAATGGATAATATTGTCTTAGAGCTAAAGGCCTGGAGAAAAAAGCTGAAATATGCTTCTTCTCCTCTCTGTCTTTACTCATGTCTGCATATCAGTCACTGAGCTGGAAAAATGTGAATATTGCTGTACAGCATGAATGAGCTAAGTTGTCTCTTGTGCAGCGAGTGCATTTCCCAGCTGGGTAGGACATTGCAAGGGTTTCACGAGTCTCCAGCACTATTTCACTCAAGCAAGACCTTCTTGAGGAGGTCCTGGTTGAATGTGGCTTTTATTTTTCTGTCTGGAGGGATACAACAATCGCCTGTTTTCAGCACAGCCTTTGTGTGGCAGTCTGCATAAACAGAGCTCTGGTGCAACAGGGGCTGATTCAGAGATTCAAGAACCCTAGCTGTAACTAATCTCTATTAGTTAAACAGGAACTTTCCTGAAACCACTAGCCGGGGAAAAATTGCAGCAAAATGCTCAAAGGGCAATGCAGATAAAATCAGTGCAGGAGTGATGAGACTGCTGCTTCTTCCAGGTCAGATTGCTCTCCACTTAGGTACTTAAGTACTTAAAAAAACAAACAAAACCCCACCAAAACCCCACACCACCAAATCCCTCTTCAGTCCTGACATTTTGAAATAACTCAACTTTGCACAAGTAATGAGTTTGCCTCCTGGCCCAGGATTCCAGAGGAGGATACTGTGAACCTTGCTCTGCTCTGAGATGGCTTCCGGGCTACAAATACACTTTCTATTCTCCAGCTGCATTTTGCACTGACATGAAATGGAGATGGTTAGATTGCCTTCTGGTGCCTGTCTGTGCCAGTAACCACTGCTGGTGGCCTGTTGTTTCTCCGGCGATATTCAGAGGTGATGTGCAAAGGGGAAGAAGTTAACTGTTTGACAAGGGCAGCTTTATTTACAGAGTGCTGCCAGGCTAAAACCAGTTGAACTGCATGAAATAATGTGCATTGGTTTGGAAAAAGAGATGAAAAGCTGTGACACTGATTGGCAGTGAAAAGCCTATAAAACAGCACACATCAGTGGAGTAATTGACTGCTTCCTTCACATAAATGATTTTTTTCCTTGCACTATTCCTTATGCACTTGAACAAGCTGCAATTCATATTGATTGAGTGTAACAAACTTAAATAATTTTCTGAAAGCCATGATATGAGACAGAACTTGGATGAGAGGGTCTTTAAAGATAATATTAGTAATATTAGTAACAATCATTTAGGGATTATCCACAAAACCGCTGACTCACAAACTGTACTGGGAAAATAATTTCCTTCACAGGAATTCAGCCAAGCAAGGGAAGAGGACAGTGCTGACTTTGCAGCCCTAATGCACCCATCTCCCTCTATCCATCTGCTTCCCTGAGTTCCAGAGCTCCTTAGAAGCTTGCTCAGTGTCGCTACCTTGAGTGTTGTTCAATTATTTCCAGGGATCTGGGGTTTGAATTTTGGAAAAGTGAAAACCTTTCTGTTGAGTGCCTGCCGGCCTTGTTGCTTTTAATGAATTTTCCAGTATGTGAGTGTTGGCTTTGCCCCCATATAAGGAGGATCAGGTTTTCTCAAAATCCCTGTGCAACTTACAGCTAAAGCAAGCATGTCTGCAGGACCTGGCTGCCCAAACCAAACCTCATGTGCTGCTGGTGCACTACCCTGCAGCCAGGCAGAATTAACCTGTGCTGCAAGATTAAAGGACAACCTTGGGCACGGAGAGGACATCAGAGAAACAGAATGCTTCTGCCAAAGCAGTGTACTCTGCAATAAGCAGATAACTCTGAGCCGCAGCACTAGGTCTGGAACCAAGCTGTTGAAAAGTTTGGCCTGCTCAGATGTAGGGTTTCTTCATAAACATCTCCATGACAGAAAAAGTTTGCAGTTTCTCTTTTGCTGCTCTGGATTCATAATCCCAAGCGTTCTGCTGTCGAGTATGTTCACCTTATGTTTTTCCCTTGATCTGTTGTGAACTAAGGGGTAGCGTGGGGTTTAGTCTTTTTTTTTGGTCGGCTTTGCTTTATTTTGCAATGAAACCATATGCTATTCTTATAGTCTCACACAAGGTTCTGTGAGCTTCTGTCATCACAATATTTACAGAGGCTGTTGCGTACCAGCTATGAGACTTTACTGCGGCATAACAAGAGGAGCTGGGTCCCTGTGAAATGTTTGGGAACAAAGTTTTCCTTAAGTGGAAGTGTCTCTGAATGTTTCCTAGCCTCTTTGCGTAACTGCCAGTGGGTTATGTAAGGCAATGAGGTAGTAGCATTCTCCCTTTGGAAACCGCTTTCCGGGCAGGGAAAGGAAAGCGTGGCAGAGAAGAAGGCAAAGAGCAGGCAGGGCAAGTGTCCTGCTGGGAGTGAACCCAGCCTGGCCCCTGCGCGTGCCCAGGGGCTTCCCCCATTCTCCCCCACCTTGGTTTCTGCTCTTCGATGGGGCCCAGATCTCGTGACTGGCACAGACACAAAAAAAACAGCGGCAAGGACAAAAATGAATACTGGTGCCTCGTACTTGAGTGGGGCACGTGACCAATGACCGTGCCTTTCCTCTGTATCCAAAGGGCTGAAGAGGATGTAACTGAACCATTTCCCAGTGTAGATAGAGTTCAGTGGCATGTCTCAAGGGATCATGCTAAATTGATACTGTGGAAGATAATTAAATCGTGTGGCAGTTTATCACAGTACATGCCTGAATAACCAGTGACTTTAAAGGCCTTTAAATCATGGGTTTGTAGCTTGACTGTATTTATGAACCGTAAGGAACTCCTATGGATTTTGCTTGGCTGTTAGATTCTGTGGAAGAGAAGTCAATTTCTGCTTGGTTGAGTGACGCCACCTTGTTAGAAATGATGAAGTACTGACCTGGATGTGGGCAGCCAACTCTGTTGCTTTCAAAACCCAATCTGAAGTTTCAGAGAGGGTTAAAAATTGTCAAAACACTTATGTGAATACCCTGATATGTCAATTCCATTCACATCTTCTCCTTTACTTTGTCAGTTATTCCCTCTGCATTTTCCTCTCTTTAAGAAAATCTGGAAACATGGTCTGCAATTCTTGTATTATTCCTTCTTAGATTATGGTTCCGGCTAGTGGGAAAACAGAGCAGCAAAACCTTATGTCTCAAAGAGAGAGAAAGTGCTTCTGAATCGGGCTGGTGGTTGGGGGGGGACGGACAAGGCCAGAGCTGCTGGGAGATTTAGAGCACAGATTTCTGGGTGATGCTTGCTGCTTTTCAAACTACCCTTTCTGAGCATCATGAGAAAGACAAAACCTCTCAGGCACACCTGATTTTATTGCCACTGAATGATGTTTTCATTCTCTCTGTTGTCAAATTGACTCAAACACCCCTGCCAGAAGTTAGGACGCAAAAGGAGTAACAAATTAACCCATGTAGTTAGTAAGGCATCTCCAGGATGTTTTTAATATTTGACTTTGCAAAAGCTCCATCTGATCTGTGCTTTTTGCACCACTATTTTGTTCCTTTTTTTCTCTGTATCATCCTCTTGGTACTTTTTAATTCCTGTCCTGGTCATGCACAGATGCAAATTTTTACCTTAGGCTTCTAGACCTACATTAACATATGTCAAATTCATCACAGTGACCTGGACCCCAGGAGCCCAGTGTATCACAGTCTGTGAGAGCCTGGGGCTGTCTGTGTTTGCCTTGAATGTCGATCTAAGACCTTAGAAATCTCTGTTTTTTCTCAGAATGGCTTTTTTCCTAATTAATCTCCATACATGACCAGGTGTACGTACACATAGAAAGACAAGCACAGGCGTATGTGTAATTAACCCTTGCCTTCCTATGACTGTATTTTGTAAGTGCAACTTAGAGGCTTACATCCTGCTTACAGCTGTGTCTTTCTCCCCAGGCTCATATATTACAACACTGAATAACTACAGATACCTTGTGTTGTTGTTTTTTTTTCTGCAGTCTATTGTCATCTAGTTCCTGAAATGATAAATTTCAAAGTCTAATATTTTTCCTGTAAGAACAAGGAATACTAGGGAAAAAAATGCTCAAGTAGAACTTTGTTGCCCTTTTGCTATCTGTAAGTCAGTCTGTTGAAATCAGTTGAACCTTGTCTGTTCAGTTATTTCAAGATACAAGGCATTAAATATGTTATTTGAAATTCATGAAATAAATAAGTTTTATAACTCAGGGCCCAGCTGCATCAACATGAAAAAGTTGTTGTACTTTACAGATCCTGCTATCTATCATTCAAGCATATCTAAAAGCAAATTCAGTAATTGTTTCCTGCTTTCAAATAATACAGTTGAACTGTAAATTTTCAATATGCCAGATTTAGCAATTCACTAATAAGGCAATGTCAAGAGCTCCATCTTTCAAACTCTCAGTTGCAGAACGACATTGCTGTCAGAAATGCTTTGCACGTGCTCTTAGTCCTGCCGCTCCCATCTGTGGATGTGTAAAGATTAGATTTGAAAAATACCTTGTTAAAAGCGAGGTTTCTAAGGTTCAAGCATCAAACATGTATAAAGTAGGAAATGGCAAGACTGAGGCAGCCTTTTACAGATTTAATTTGCTACCCACACCTCTTCTGCTGATATATATACATTCTTGTGCAGTCTTTAAAGATCTAATCAATTATTCTTTTTCCCCTAAGCTTTCTCTGGGAGTTAATTAGGGTTGTCTAGTGAAGGAGATGTATAAAAAAGAGGAATCCTACCTAAAATTCTTGGGAGGCATGCAAGTCCATAGAAAAAATAAATCTTTTAATGAACTACAGAACTAATGCAAACTGGTTTCCCATGGTTTCCAGGCTTTCACTCCTTAAACCCCCTTTCCCTGCTTTTTCTTCCATAACTTCTCTGCCCAAGTAAATGGCTGGTGTGTCTGAGCCCATTCTGAGTCTTTTCCTTTACCCAAGCGCGCACAGTTTGAAGAGTGTTAATTATCTTTGACATCACTGACCTTCCGTGAAATTGGGCTGAAACTGCCCAGCAGGTTCACACATTGTCAAGGCAGGTGAACAGATGGATGGAGAGAGAGTTTGACTAACCTCAGGTTTACTGTTTTTCAGTCATCTGTAAGAGATAAACATGATACCAAGTAACTTGGTCTTACTTGTACCACAGATACCTGTGATGTGATTTAAGTCATTTAAGCTAAATTTTTCACAGATAGTTGCAAATTTGTATTTTTAATTTTCTGAGCACCTTGTTTAAGTAGACTGATGTGTGAAAGCGCTACAGCATTCATGGCTGCATTTGAAATCTATGGGATTGTGTAATATTAAGTAGTGACAAAACACCAGGCCTGAAAATCTTAAACTGGGCCAAAACATATTGGTGATTCACCAGGACGCTGTAGGGATGACTGCCAGCAATAACCCTTGGGAAAATTTATAATGATCCTCTTACTGGTTTTTGGCTGGTGATGTTAACAGACCTTTGGAGCTTTATGCTAAGCAAGAAGAAAGCGGTCTCTTGAATGGCTGCTCACTCATTCAGCTCTATCTGGCCATGTACCAAATGAGGCATGTTCCTAAAAGAAAGATAATTTGTCATCATGGCCTACGATTGTACCATTTTGAACACAAGGAATTATTTCCCACAGGCATGATATAAAAGGAAGAGAGGAGAAGCAGGAAGTTGAACAGCCTTAATTCAATGCTGAAATATTTATTTCACAGCTTAAACAAAAGTTCTCACCTGAAGAACATTGTTCTCACATAGAACATGCTTATGAACAAATATAACATTAATATTTTTCAAAAGCTTCCTTCTTGTGGCCCCTATGATTAGAGACTTCCAGCAAGTGATCTACATGTAACTGCAAAGCAGATTAAATTTTGGAAAGCAGCTTGGTACCCGTCAGGGCTGGGTAGAAAGGAGGGAGCAGGAAGAGGGAACTGTGGTCTAGTAAGTCACTTGTCTGCCAAAAACCAGACCCTGACGTTTGGTACACAGGGAAAGTGAAGCACAAGGGAATGTAATTCTAATAAACTGATATCCCTAGCACGCAATCTTCCTGAAAGATAGAGCCTAAGATTTCTGTGTTGGAGCGCAAACTTTACCTGAGCTGCTAAAGAAAATGGGCCCTTACCTTATCACAGAGAAAAAACATATTCTCCTCTTTCACCATCCAGACCGTACCAGAAGCATTTCCATCCTCAGATGCTTGCTTGTCCTCCAGTTTGTCTCTTTTTCACTGTGGCTCTGACACTGGCCAGAGCACTGTAGTTTGGGTTTAAAAAAAAAAAAAAAGTTAAAAAATAGCAATAAAAAGGAACGTAATGGGGTAGTTCATTCACTGTGGGATGTCCATAAACACAAGATGTGCCAGCAACTCCTGAAATGACAAAATATAAAAGGATTGCAGAATTATGGTTCTGTCCTCCAGAACTGAAAAACACATTTTGGAGACAAATAGAGAAATCTCAGCTTTAAAAAATGAGCCCTTATGTTGTGCTGGCAACCTTATTAATGAAGAAATTATATTTATTGTTTGCTGTCTAACTGACAATAACACCCCATATCAAGAAAAAAATAATGCCAGCTGAGTCCAGCACATTTGGAGACAGCTAAAAGAGTATGATACTTCCTAACTTTTTCATTTACTGTAGGGCTAGACTTAAGTATTTACACAACAACTGAGTCCCAGTTTCTTCCATGGCAGCCTCAAAATTCACTGATCCTATTCTCTGCATGCTTCCGTGGTACAGACAATAACCAGGATTATATGGATGTCTAATGATTGGTAAGATTTGGTGTAGTTTGGGGATCTGCTCAGAGAAACTGGACCATCAGTTTCCCAATGCACTAGTGAGGCAGGTTAATTAATTCCTATCAAAATCAGCAAATTGAAAAAGAAAGTGGAATGGTGATTTGCAGATTTCTTTTTAGCAAGCCACAAGTACATCTATATAGTCCTTCCTGTGAATCTTTTCCACCATAGCTGGAAAACGCAGACACACACAAGGATCATAAGACTGCTTCATGTCAGCTTAGAGAAAGAAACAGAGGTAAAGTTCACAGGCCCCAAAGAGTAAGGGGAAAAAAGCCCACAGGCTCATTCTTTGCCCTTCAGGGAGCAGAAATAACACGGAGTGAGGAAGATTGACTGAAAGATTAGGGTTTTATAAACTTTATTACTAGTGTTGAAAAGAGTTACCAACAAAGAACTTTCAGTATAAATTTTAGATGGTGAGAATATCAGCAGTATGCAGGGCCAGATGAAACAAATCATCCATCAAACTGTAAAAAACCTATCTCCCCATCCTTTACCCTTTTGGCAGTGTTATCTTCCTTTCCCAGTTTATTCTGCCCTTGCAGACTCTCTACTCAGCTGTAGAAATTTTCTCTTCCCCTGGAAAAAGACAGCATTGATCTAGCAGGCAGGCATCAGGGTCCAGGATGACCCTACTATAACTGTACGTGCATCTCCTGTGCATGGCAGAGGAGACTTTAACCTGGTAAGTGCTAGCTGCATTCTCTACACCTCTTCATACTTTCAGGCAAAGGTGAACAGATCCATCTTTTTCCTTCATAATTCAGATCTGAAGCTGATGGAGCAAGCAAGAAAGTGAGCACAGAGGGCAAGACATGAACTCCACATTGGTGACATCTAGAAGAACCACAGCATCTTTAAGGTAAATAATTTCCTTTCATGCTTACACGCCAGTTTACACCTGCACAAGCTAGCGTTGTCTTCATGGTGGTACAAATAATGAACACTTGGTGCATCAGCCAGTCATTGCATTATTGCTCCTCTGAGCTGGCGGTGTGACTGATGGCAAAGTTCAAAGGACATTTCTTTCAAAGGTCACTGTCCTAGATCATATGTCTGCCTTGCCAGTTTTTGATACTGACACTCTTCTAGATAAGAGAGAAGATGCCCCTGAACTTTGAAGTCTGGTGAAATACATGCACCAGGCCGCACACAATACAGAGAGACATTTGTGTCATCTGTTTTGGGCTCTGGGACAAGATAGCCAGGCTGTAGTCTGAAAGAGGTAAGATCACTTCTGAAAGATTGTCTTACCAATATAGTAAGCAAGTTATTTTGCCTACAAGTAACTGATGTCTTTCCAGTTGATTAAGCATTTTGCTTGTGATTTTTTTAATTTGCAGGGAGCAGCCCTGCTGCAGTGATTTAAGTTGTGGATGGAGTGTCAGTTTATGTCCTTGTATGAGGGCTAGATCAGAGGCTGTATGAGCCTCTGTTTACTACAGCAAATAGTAAATTACTGTAGCAAGTCTGTCAGCCAAAAGTATCATGGCAAGTTGTAAGCTATAAGAATGATGCTGGCTTTGTCCCTCTTGTATGAAAAGGGCACAGAAGAGCACTGGATTTGATAGAGAGCATAGGAGAAGATCTAGGACCAAAGTCAAAGTCATCTGACTTAATAGCTGCTGCAACTGATTCAATACCTTCTGCATATTGGCCCCCTACAAAAGGAGTTTTCATTGTGGAATATGATGCATGTTGAAAATGAGCCCTACCCAAAATCATTTTATCCGGCCTCACTTAAATAATGTGGAAATCCAAAGAGTAGTTCAGCACATGTAGTTTGAGCTTGGCATCTCTTGTTTGGTGACACACAGGAAAAAATACTACAGTAATATGGCGCTTGTAGAACGAGCAGTTAGTGAAGAAGAAATGTGATCATTAAGGAATATGACAAAACCTGGGAAAGTAAACCGCTCCTGGCTGAACAAATGGATAGAGAGTGCACAAAGATTCCTAGCAGCATTTTTGGGAGATAAAGAGTAAAACAACCCAGCCAAGCTGAAGAAAGTTAATACTTAAAGATAATGTTAATGGTAGAAGATTTTGGGCTGTTCTTTCAATTTCTCAAGTGTCAGAGATCCATGAGATGCTGTTTTAGTAACTCTATGTTTTAGAAAAGGATTTTATTTGTTTCTATTTGTTCTCTGCAACTTTGTTTCCAGTGTTTTAATGAGTATTTACATTTGGCTACAATCAACGTGCATTTTCCACATTAAAGAATACCTGGTTTAAGAGAGATCCTGGGTGACTTTCACAGGAACAAGGTGTACTGATTATCCACTATACCCACAATTGCTTTTACAGCTGGATGCAGTATGCATTGAGGCCATATCATTCACCAGAGCAGTCTCAAGGCCACCTTAGACTGCCATCACAACCATCTGTTACCATTAAACTACACCATTAAAACTAATCAGCTACACCATTAGACTGCCACCATGGCAATCTAATGGATGTCAACAAGTATTTTGTTTAGAGACAGTGACAGTCTGGTGATGCTCAGTTTCATAAGCTGCTATATTCGGAACAACTATCTTTAAACTCATTTCATACAATCAACAAGCCAAATTCTTCTCAGCTTCACCAGCACTTGCTCTTAGCAGCAGAAATCACAATGAGAATACGATTTTTTGTCATTGTACACAAATCCTGAATTTATTTGAGAGTCTCTGGCCTGGAATGTTTCTTGGTAAGCCTTGAGAAAGGGGTTGAGAGGCAGTACTGTGAAAAGCAAAGTTTTGAGGATAAATCTTTCCTCTAAGGTGTTAATCAGTGATCCTCTGACAAGGAGCAGTGGGTTGGAGGGAAGTTTCAATGACCAAGTGTTCGCAACCTGTCAGGGCTGTAAAGGGAGAAACAAATCAAGTACTTGCAGATGCTATTCAATAGCACAAGGCACACGCAGCCCCCAAGGACATGAATATTCAAGGATGTGTTTTCACTGGCCCAGAGCTCATGCAAGCCCTCAGTGAGATCCACACTTTGTATTTCATTGGTAATGCTTTGTATTTCAAGCTGAATACTAACTTCAAGAATCAGTAGAAAGTGAAGAGAAGTTCACAGAAAAATGATAATGAAAACAGTTTTGGGTAAAGAAACTTCATAGTAATTTTTAAGTTAAAAATGTATATGTTTGGTATGGCATTTGAAACTGCTTGTTTTACCCACACTTTACAAGCGCAAAAAAATTGGAAGTGCAGTGCTATGTCTGTTTTATATATCTATATATGTGTACATAAGTATGTACATGTGTGCATATACATATATACATAGTTATCAGTGTCACTGAAGAATCTGAAAACCTAGTATATGTTCCAGTGTATCAGCTGTATGAACTACGCAACATAATAGTTATGCATATTCAGGGACAAATCCACTTGCTTTGTCATCCATGGGAAATAATTTCTGATAGATGCACTAACAGGGGAACTATAGTTGAGAACAAAAAATTTTCATTATAGTTTTCAATTTCCATTTTATGTTGCCTTACCAAATAACTTACTCTTCAATTCTCAAACCCATAGTAGTAATTCACAAAGGCCATTACTCCAATAGTCCTTATTCTGCTATCCTAGGTATTTTTATTCCTTCTAAATACAGTTTTTTAGACCATGCTGACCATAAAGCATCTATGCCTAAATGAGATGTTCTTCCCACTCCAACACCCCAACTCTCCTCTTCCCCCCCGCCCCGTATTTCTTAGGAAGAATATAAAAAACCTGTGGCATATGGGGTTTTATGGCATATGCCTGAGCTTGAATTCTTGTTCCCTTTTGTACTTTGAAAGGTTTAAACCAGCACTGCACATTTTTCACTAGCAAGTGACTCCTACATCCCTGCTGTTCTGCTGCAATCCATCGGTTTCATGGGGTGCAGCACAAATGCACACACTTGTTATTGTCATAAATTCACTGTGCAGTTTGCCTTCTTTCCGTGATGTTCTCCAGGAGACCTGTATGTTCACTTCTAAGTAATGATGTACAGGCATAACATAGCTTTGAGGGACTGCTGAATCCACACTATGATTTAATTGTGTAATTGTTGATCCATGTTTTCCCACCATACGCAGCCCTACCTGTCTCTTTTTCCCCTAGCAGATGTAACTAATCACCAACACACCTGTAAGCAGTGTTTCCTAGAAGAGCTATCACATATTTCTTCTGTAATAAAGGAGTCAGGCTGACTGACGATATGCATATGGATGTCCTCTCCAATATAAATACTGCAAGAAAGGTGAGTATGGAGTGCTATGCTAAGAGAAGGAAAATGAAACATGGAAGTATTAGTTGGGGAATATCTGGCAGAGAAACAGCATGGCAGAAAATTAGGTGCTATAGAAATTTACAGGTGAAACGTGTCAGCAATGGGATGCCAAAACCAGGAAATGGTATTCTGGGGTATATTAACAAAAATGTCATATAGAACACATAGGAGATAATTACCGTGCTCCACTCCTCCTTACAGGGACTTCTACAGGAGGTGGGTGCTGGCTTTGGTGAGTGCTGGCTTAGGTCACTGAGCTCTGAGGAGACTGTAAGAGAAAGAAAGAAGAGGTTCAGAGAATAAGACCTATAAATACAGGTTGAAACAACTGGCTGTCTTTGGTCTAGAAGCAAGAAAATTCAAGTGAGATGTGTGTCTTCTAACACAAAAAAGGACTATAAAGGTTATAAAGAAGGGATTGATAAAACTATTGCTGTATAATTGTCAGTTCTGCTAAGGGAAATGGCAAAATGAAATTAGTTTAATTTGCAACAAAAGAGAATTCAGACTTACATTTTGGGGGTTTGGTTTTGGTTTAGAAAGTGTATTGATTTGGGCTGAAAATTTAAAGAACTATCCTAAGAGCAATAAAGTTCTTCAACAGCTTTCCAGTAGGAGTAATGATGATAAAATGGTAAAGCTCACTATTTTTAAGGTAGACTTTAAATACACTCTATAGAGCATCAAATCTAAATAGAAAGATAAACGGATTTTGTAAAATCAGTACTCCAGTATGTACTGATACAGTTCACAATAAAGACTCAATAGTGCTTATAGTGGTCCTGTTCTGATTTGTCTTTTAACTTTTTGGAATTGTGAAGTAACACTTCCTTTTTGCTCTTTGTAAAGGTCAGGTAGCACTTCATATAGACTTGCCCACATTTCATCAGGGATATAGATGGTGTATTTTTACAACCAAGCAGTATTTCTGGACCTGCAGTATAGAGTTATAGCATTAGCCTTGCATCTCTCCTTTGCCCTTTTGGTTGTTGCAATGTATTGCTGTCCCACAGCATTTCAGCCAGATAAAATTGTTTTAGAGAACCAGATTCCAGGCTTCTTTATAGCACAATCCATTATCTACACCACAGGTGTGGCCTTTAACATTGCCAGCACATGCTATAAAGTAACCAAAGTCCAACTGGAAATCTGGGATGTTTCCCATAAAATAAAACAAGTATGTTTTCTTCTACTTGCTGTCTACCTACTTGCTAGCAGCAGTATCTGAAAGTATCATCTCTAGCTGGCCCATACTATAGGTATAAAAGACAATAGAAGCACTTAAATTTGAGAGGTTGAGGGAAGAGCTTTGGATGCCATAGATTAAGACCCTGAAGGAAGGTGAAGGAATTTGTTGATCTTTGCAATCTGCATCTGGGAGAGTGCCCAGTCAGGACACTACTTTGCTGGTACTCCAAACCCCATAGAGAAGGTACCATGGAAGAGCAGGTATGATAGTGGTTGCATGATTGTTTTGAGATAATTTAAATAATAGCTGCTTTGAAAGAGATGGTTGCTATGCAGCCCTTTGCTCCACGGCATACTTTCTCTGTGTTGCCTTGTGTTGCCCCTCACGTTCATGCATTCTCATGCAAGTGAGGTCAAGGGGCTGCTCTATCTGAAAACCTAGCAAGAAGCAATAGTTCCCCACCAGATCAACTTTTGCTCTCCCACACACATTAGTGCAAGTGCCAGTGGAAAGCTGGGAGCAGTAACATCTCCCAGGGTACCAGGGAAGGCTGAGATCAAATGTTTCAGCTGCTGTCTGCAGCTACACTGGCTTAAAGATGCCATGAAATGCAGCTGAATCGGCCTGCTGCTACGCCTTCATTATTCGGATGAACATGGCCGATGCTTAAAGAAGCTTGAGCAGCTTCTGGTTCATCTGCAGGAGGAAAGCAGCCATGTCTCCCTACAAGGCTAGGCAGCTCTTCCATGGAGCCCCCACAAAGCTGCAGAGCTGGGACAACTTGCTCATGTCCCAGAATGCAGCTCTGATGGGTACCATTTCCATGTGCTTCAGGTGGACGCTTAGTTTATAAAATGCGTAGTATGTATAGAAATGTGTATGTATAGCAATTGAAGGTACAATATACTTCTATGATTTATCTTCCTAATTAACTTGTTCTACTTTGCTAATACATAAATTCCTAAGACAATTTCCAGTTTTGGGGAGAGGGTATTTCTAGAGGCAAAAGATTCTCTCTGAGTCATTGTTTTTGTCCTTGTTCTCACATTTTGCTGAGAGAAAAGGGAAGAAAGGAAATTATAAACTGAACGGACTCATGAAATTACAAATTATAAATGAGGAATCTGATCTGAAGTGTGTGACAGGACATCCTGCCATGCTGCTTTCTCAGTCTTTTACTTTTTTGTAAATAACATCTCCTTTCCTAGGCGAGAAAACAGAAGTGACACTATATGACTTGTCATTTTATGAAATGGCTGAGTACCTTTTTAAGTTCCAGTGGAACGTTAAGTAGTGTGGTAGGTGAATTCCTAGTTCTGCTATAATGTATTCTCTTCCTTTTTTGTCTGAAGTTGTGCAGGAAGCCTTTAAACCACCATGACTAATAAGGAATTTTCTAAAGAAAATTGCTCTTGACATGTTATTCTTTGTAAATAGGTGTAGTATTCTGCCTAGTCTGGTATGAATGCTTGCTTTTTGGCATTGCTACAGAGCAAGGTGAGCAGCCTGCCCTGCCATATGCACAGCTCTGGCCTACAGGCAGCATTGTAGATTTCTACATCGCTCATTCCTTCCCTGTGTTTCTATTACAGTGACATAGGTTGAGACTTCTTACACTTGAATGCAAGAAAAATAAGTCTGCCTCCAGTCTTCCTTCTTTCCCAAAACCAAGGCTTCCTCAAGTAACGGAAAATGGATGCTTGTTTTCAAAGACAAGGCTTCAAGCTGAAGACAGGTTGTATGCCTGGGCTTTAAGAATTATCACGTTTCTTGATGAGGGGGTGGAAACTTCTCTTTGATGGAGTTTAGTGTATCTCCAAATATAATATAGGTACCAAAAAAGCTGATTTTGAAACTTCCATTAAAATAAGTAAAAGATGAATGCTATTTGCATACAATAAAACAAATGTATTGCTCCAGGACCAAACTCACTTGCACAGGCAAGATAGATGCAATGTTGTTAACTACCTGAATGCAATGATTTGCAATGCGTCTATCTGGAAAATACACTTTTTATTTTAAGAGTGAAATGCCAGCCTGTTCTTTGTAATCAAATTCTGTCCCTTAGATTTCACCTATCCTGAATTTTGAGGTTTGTGTATGCATGCACAAAATCCAAATACAAATCAGTTAAAAGTGCTGAATGTTACCTCTTTGGGGGTTATGTGAATGTCTCATCTTTTTGGTCGGTAACAATACCTACTTGATGTTTTTCCTTGGACTGGAAAATATCAGTCAAGGTAAGCACAAAGAGTATTCTTTCTTTCCTACCATTTTTTACTTTGTGTATCTCCTTTTGTACACACAGGTGAAGGTTAAAATCCTGTTAAAGTAGGAATTTCCAAAAGCACAAGGTTATGTAAGTAAGCCTGCAGAAAATGGGTATCTGACTTCATTGTGTCACAGAAATGCCTGTTGAAGGAATCTCTGGGAGTCCCCTCCAGGCAGAACTATTGCCAGCCATATTCCTTGCCTGGTGAAGTCCTTTAAAACCTCCAACGATAGAGATTCCACCATGTGTCCGTATTTTACTTAATGCCCAACCCAATCCTATTTGGCAATTGCCTCTTACTACATTGTCTGTAACTACCAAGAAGAGTTTGGTTTGCCTCCATCATCTTTCTAACTGCGCTTCAAGTTGTCTTAAGCTGCTGTTTCTTTTGTTCATTTAGATTATCTCTGTAACTATCAGAGAAAGCTTTAAATCTTTTCTCTCTGCACTAGAGCTGTGCTCTCTGTGCTAGCCAGCACTTAACACAGCTGCAATCTGTAAACTGGTAAATTAAATATTAGCCTGGACATTGGATAACTTAGCACAGAGAACTGCCTGTACTGGGGAGGTTTGGGACTGACTGCACACCTTCCACAGCATGCTAACTACTAAAGAAATAAATACACACATGAAATCCCTGATCTTAAATGTTTGCTAATTTGGAGACAGATTGTGGTTTGTTTTGGCAAATAACCAAGCCTGAGCAGTACTAGAAAATTTCCCTGCACCCTCCTTGTACAAAAGTGAGCTTTTCCAGCTCTAAATAAGACTGATCCAGTGTTTGCAAAGAGGTTTTGAGCAGAAGAGCTGGATCCTTGCTTCAATAGTTTTGACTCTACCTAAGGTGCCTGAGCTGAATGTTTAAAAGTTCGTCAGTCTTTTCATAGGCACTGGAGTTGGCTTTAGACCAAGAGAGGGATATTAATTTTCTCAGAGGATAGTCCAATAACTTAATATTGGGGCTCTTGAAAATTTTGTGGGGACTATGGTCATATTCAAATCCACAGTTTAGCATCACCTTAGAAACACCCTCAGAAACAGTTTAGCATCAGCCCAGAGCTAGAAATTAACTGTTACAGGAAACAGGTAGCATACAAAAAGAATGCCAGCTGGACACAATAGCATGTAATAGGGCAGAGCAGTAAATTCAGCACATCACATGACACAGTTTGTTTAGCAATGTATTTTCAGAAAAATACTTTTCCACCTGCCTTGCAACTGCTTTTCTAAGGGGAGGGCAAGGGTTGTGTAGATGCTGTAGGTATGGGATCATATGTTGCAGCTTGTAATTTTGTTAACCTTCAGCTCTATTCAAATACAGGAAAAAAACATTGCAAAACATTAAGTCTGGATGAATAAAGAGGTATAAATGTCTGGCAGTTCAAGCCCTGAACCTACAGAATCTAAACTGCATTTATTTCAGGATCAGTGCCTCCCCACTGGAGCTCTGGGTTTCACTGTACAAGTTTTGAGCACATTTCATTGTCACCACAAAGCTGTAATCCTCCTGCTTTTTATTTTAAGGGAAATCAGTTGTGACTTCCTTTAAAAAAAATCTGACAGATTGGTTTTTATAGATGGAGAAGCAGACTGTCTTCTTTGCCTTGAGGTTGTGAAGACAGAATAATTTTACACTAGATTACAAAAGAAAAATGAAAGTTGCTTCTTCTAGCTCTTCTCTTTGTAAACCCATCTAAAGGAAGATTTTCCTTCCATTCTCGGTAACATACACACATATATATATTTATATGTACAGTTAAAAGTTAAAATCATCTTGTCCTGTCAGTTTTCTTTGTTCAGCTTTCAAACCTTTCACATTACTAACA